TCAAACCTGCATCTCCTGCATTGGCAGGAGGATTCTTTACCACTGAGCCACCTGGGAAGACCGTGTGTGTGTGTGTGTGTGTGTGTGTGCGCGCGTGTGCGTGCACGCGCACACACGTGCATGCACATGTGCGCACGCAAATTCTTTTTAAGATTCTTTTCCATTATATGTTTTTATACGCCACTGACTATAGTTATCTGTGGTGTACCATAGCACCTGTTGTTTATGTATTTATATATAGCAATATATATCTGTTAATCCCAAGCTCCTGATTTACCCTCCCCCACACCCTTTCCCTTTTAGTAACTGTAAGTTTGTTTTCTATCAACATTATTTATAATAGCAAGTACATACTCACCTCAGAATAGTATGCAGCCATTAAAAATTTTTTTCTTCCAATTTTTAATGGCATGAGGAATAACTAATGGTGAAAAGTCTAGATGCAAAGTTGTTTACATGCTTTGATCTCAATTTTATAATGAAAAAATAATACTTGCAGAAAATGATGGGATGGAAATATGTCGATATGTTAAGAATTAATCATTATCCTATATTAATGTTCTGTGAAAGCTGCTTAGCTTGTCATAAACACAGTTTTTTTCTTCTATAAGCTAGGGATAAAAATACCTCCTCCAGCAACAATGAGGGTGAAGTAATAAAGCCTATGTGTAGATTGCCTTATAAACTGTACGACGTAATTTCATCCATTGTTTGGTGGTATCTGCAAGCAGTGGTGATGGTAGAACTCATTGCTAGGAAATAATTATATATTCTGTACCATTTTAATAAGAGTTTTATGATAATAAATGTTTGATTCTTCTCCCATTTCCATTTCTTGGTATTAAGCATGGAGATAGACAAAGGAAATTGCTTTAAAAGCATCATTTCCAGATTCAGGACAAATCAGAGTTGAAAGACAAACTTTTTCAGTCCCTCTCCTAGTGAAGTGGTGGATCAGGTATTATCAATAGAAAATACACTGTTTAAAACCCTCCAACCCATTAAAAATCGTTATGCATTTTAACTCACAGACCTGGATTTAAAAATCAGGAAATAAAACTGTTTCTCTGCTGAACTCAAAAGCTCTATTTCATATATGGTTTAAAACCTTAGTAATACTGAAAGGAACAATTTTTGGAGTTAAATGCGCTTTTGAAAAATGTCCCAGACACAGCAATGAATTGAGCCTCAAAACCCTCTGCACAGATGCCAATGTATGCACAAATATTTTAAAATCTTGTTTAGCATGACACAGGCCATTTCTCTAGAATTTGGCTTGAGAATGAAAATGTAATGCTCATGGGACTTCCTTGGTGGTCCAGTGGCTAAAACTGTGAGCTCCCAATTCAGGGGACCCAGGTTCAATCCCTGATCAGAGAACTAGATCCCATGTGCTGCAACTCAGACCCGGTGTAGCCAAATAAACAAGTAAATAATATCAATAATAATGTTCATAAAACACTCAAAATATATGTGCCTTGTTGCTTTTTGGAGTGCTTACTCAATGATTAAATACCAACTAAAAAGTCTTAGATCTGTGTATTTGTTATGATTCACAGAACCCATTCCTACAAATGCGCCTGTTGGAGACTGCTAGCCTCTCAAGTCTAATTTAAGACAGGTAGTGCTCTCATAGGACCAATAAGAAATCCTAGGTTCTAATCAACTATTTAATCTATTTGAGCCTTTGTTTTCTCATCTGTAAAATGGGGGGAGGGGCGTAAAAATAGTACCTACCCCATAAGGAACTTATGATGAAATAAGGTTACATTCATGTAAAGACTTTAGTACATAACAAGTTCTTAAACATTAGGTGTTATTACTAAAATGATGAATGCCTTTTCCACTATTCCAAGCCCAAGTGTTTCAGACAAAACCCAGACAGAATGCATGGGTGAATACTCAGGGGAGATGGAGTTTGTGGCTCGAATTTTGGATATCTGTCATTGAATAATGTGCCTTTTTTAGTTTATTTGCTTATTTTTTAGTTATTCTTAAGCCCACCTTTGAGAAGATGGTGCTTGGGGATGTTGAAGGACTTTTTATTGTCTTGAAGATGTTTTTCTTCCCCGTGTCACAAATGACAATTTTTTCTATGAAGTCAAAGAGAAATTGTCAAACCTCAGCAATGGAAGAAGAAAGACACTGTCTACCTATATCCTTGCATGGAAGCTACTCCTTGACATAGGCTGAGCAGGGTGCCCGGAGCCAGTTGGACAGGGCTGAACCATGGCCCTCAGCAGACAGGGACAAAGTGATGTCAGGTCTCCTGCTTGTCTTCCCCACCGCCCCTTCTATCAGCTGCTTGGAGCCTAAATGTCTGTCTTGTTTTTCGTCGATGACTTGGCTGGAGATTCCTAGAGCAGCTACCGCTAGAGCTGGCAGCCGGCAGCCCTCTTTGAGAACACAGGAAAAGGAGAGCGAGGTGGAACTGGGGACAGAAGCCAGCCCAGCGCACAGGATGCCCATGCAGGGGGCTGTGGTAGAGTCTTTTCTGTAGTCTTCCTGTGGCCTCTTGTTCTTTGAATTCTTGCTATGGCAGAAAACACCACAAAGCCCCTTAAACTTGTAGCTTGGGAATGCCTCTGAGGTGTCCAAAAAAAAAAGTGTCACAGTTTTTCAGCCTCGTGTGTGTGGCTGGATGGGTAACCTGTCTCAGTGCATCACACCTCAGGGTCTGCTCAGATTTTTCCTTTCAAGGCTGCTGGGTTTGAACCTCATCTCCTCATTCATGTACTATAGTGCTATAGTATTTACTACTGAAAAAGAGCCGGGTGTAAGTGGACCTGTGCAGCTCAAACCCATGTTATTCAAGGGTTGACTGTACTTCATAAATGCTGGGTGCTATTATCTGATTTTTTTCACATTTATTCTAAATTTAAGGGATGTATTTAAATGATGTATCTATTCTGGTGCTCCACAAGTTCATGGAAATGTTGAAACTTTGAATGATGTTAAAAACATTGATCAATGAAATATTTCAAGTACAGCCTGATGAGAGTGCTAAACAATTTCAGTTTTGTTTACAAAGAACACATGAGTCTAAAGGGTGACTTAATTCCTTATTCTTAGAAAAATGGCAGGATGGTGTTGGATGTTTGGTAGTTCCCTTCTTTTTTTTTTTTTCTTTTTTTCTTTTTTTTTTGGTAGTTCCCTTCTTTCCCTCTATTCCTGGGGATAAAATCACAGGTTCTGGACCTCAATTTGATCCGTCAAGACATTTTAGAAACGAAATGATTTAGGACCAAGTAGACTGCGAGCTGTAGAAATGGAGAGCTGGAAAATGTTGTACAGGTTTCGGCCCTTAAGCCTCCTCCCAGGGGGAAGGGTCTCTCCCTTTCAGGGCAGGGACACAGCTCTGTTACCTCAAGCAGGGGTTCTCTTTCACTGTCCCCATCCCTGGTCCCCGTTCACTATCCCAGCAAGTGTCCTCTGAAGGTGTTGTGTTTCTACTTGTTGCTTGATAATGAGTAAAAAGTATTCCAAGACCTCCCCCCTTTATGTTCTCCTTGGTTGCAAAGGAAGGAGGGAGTGGTCCCCACCACACACCCCCATCCCCACCCCCACCATTCCATATATGAGAAACACACCTAAATGTGTTCCTCCATCATGGAAAGGAAATCTTGGTGGGGAGGAAGGGAGGGGCTCTGTGTGGCTGCCACCACCTCCGAGTGACGTGACCTTCTGGTGGGGGTGGGGAGGAACCATGCTGGGACACAACCATTTCCCACAGAAAGCGCACTTTCCCCATCATTCTACCTCTGGCTCCCTTGCTCCACCCCAGCCATGTCACTCTAGCACGGGATCCCCAACCTCCAATATCTAATGCCTGATGATCCGAGGTGCAGCTAATGTACTAATCATAGAAATGAAGTGTACGATAAATGTAATGCACTTGAATCATCCCGAAACCATCCCCTCTCCCCACCACCTTCCATGGAAAAATTGTCTTCCACGAAATTGCTTCCTGGTGCCAAAAAGGTCGGAGACTGCTGCTGTAGCACACCAATTTGTCTCCTCAGTCCCTGAAGGAGACCCCTCAATGGCATCTGCCAAGGCTGCTGTATACTGGTTAAACTGCATGCGGGCACCTCGGCAACAGGGTATGTGAGGGTAAAATCCAGCTTAGAGTTCTGCTCACTAAGCTGTGAGCCATGGTGCAGGGCTGGGTCTGCCTAAAGGAAGGGGCATCTTTTTCCAATTTGCACAGAGAGCTAGGACTGTGCCTGGTGATACCTAATCCGAGTCCTCCTCTTATCAGCCTCTGGGTTGCTACTGAATTCTTTAGAGATTGTCTTCCATGGGTACCACCTCCAGGATCCTAAGGGAGCTATAAAATGCTCAAGAGAGGATGTGGGGCCACATTGATTGCCAGGGACCAGGAAGGAGGTGGTTCCTTATTTCATTTGCTGCATTGGGTGCCCTCTGTGGGCAGGCGTGGTGCTGGAAATGTATTAATATTAATACATCTGGCCATAGACATGGGCCTGCCTTCAAGACCCACGAACAGAAAAGTGTGGCATCCATAGTGATGGCTACAGGCACAGGGTGCCCAGGGCCCACAGAGCAGGTGACCCCAACATGCCCGAGGGACAGGAATACTTCCCTAAAGGAGGTGGACCTGAGCAGGGTCTTCCAGGATGCATAGGAGCTGACTGGGTCCTCTTCTCTGGGGTAGTAGCTATTGTGCCAATGGACCCATGACCAGGAATTGCTATGCCGAGCTAAGGTCCACTTTGAGAAGTCCAGCAAGTCTGCAGCACATCTGCCTCTTTCACTAGGCTCCTTACACTGGAGAGAAAGTAGGTCTGCAGATTTTAAACTTTGAAAATTCATTATTTGCAAAAGAGTACAATGCCAATCATTCTGTTTTCCTTGGGGGTTATATTCTGGGTTTTTAAATGATTATGTCCCAAGTTAGTGGCCCCAGCAAGCTTTTTAGCCCCCTGCTGTGTCACACAATGCTAAGTTTGTTTTCTTTTTCTTCCCCCCTCTCTCAGATACTTACTGGAGCAAGACTTCCCAGGCATGAGGATTGGGCCAGAGCCCACCACCGACTCCTTCATCGCTGTGATGTATGGGGAAACCGAGGGCAACACCCCAGGGAACGCTTTAGTCGTGGACCCCAAAAAGCCCTTTCGAAAGCTTGGTCGCTTTGGAAATGCCTTCCTCAATCGGTAAGGACCAGCAGACTGCCATCTTTGGACCAGTTATTTAAAGCTGTTCTTTGAATCCTTGTCAGTTATGTGTAAAAGTTCAAAACCAGAAAAACAGAATATGTGTGTTCTGAAAGAGAGAAGTTATAAGAAAATACACTTATCATGTTCAAATATTGGGGAGATTCTCTTAGGAAGTGATCATTTATACCTACCCTGGGTGGCTTCAGAGGGCAGAGCTAAGGCCCAGGATTGAACATTACAGGGCCGCACAGTATAAGGAACAAATTTCTAATAATCTGAACCTCACGGGAAAGGATCAGGTTGCCTTGAGGGGTAGTGAGCTGCCTGTGCTGGCCACATTACATGGTGGCCGGATGGTTAACTCTCAGGCATTGTGTGCCAGGACCTCACACAGAGAACTAAGCCCAGAGGGCCACTGACGTTCTCCCGACACCTGGATTTAATCCTGGTTATTCCAGGACCAGTCACCCCACCTCGGTGGGTGTCCCTTTGGCTTCTCAGTCCTATGCTTTGAGCTGCATCCTCGTTCGTTAGAGCCAGGCAGGGGAAACAGAGGCAGAACAGCCCAACATTACGTTTGTTGCATGGTCATTATTTCACAGAGGTGAGGTTGTAGGATAGCTGAGGCTCTGTCTGGATTGCAGCAGTGTTGTATTTGTACTGCCTTTCTCCAGAGTTCCCGAGACGCAGTGAGGTCCAGGACCGAGGACAAGCCAGTGGGTTCTCCTGGACACAGCTCTGCACTTTTAGGGACCACCTGCTCCTACCTCCCCCTCCTTCTTCCTTTTTGTCACTCGGAGCCTATTTTTTTTAAACCCGTTTCTCTTTCTTCTTTCTTGAGTTCCCCTCACCCCCCCATTTCCCTCTTTTATGAGTCTACCACATGAGTCTCTTTAGTTGCAGGGAGTGGGCTATGGGAGGTTCAGAACCAGAGAGTGGTCTTCCAAACGCCTTTAGGGAGACATGGAACTAGAGATGACAGATGAAAGACTTGAGACTACACTTCTGCTTTTTAGATTAAAAAAAAAAAGCGGAAAAGATCCTCCCAGCTGGCAGCTGTTCTCCCAGAAGCTGAGAGTTGCGCCTGATTGCACAACTCCAGGGAGTGTCATTCACAAGGACCATGGAATGAATGATGTGCCAGAGTGCTGTGCGATGGCTGTGCCAAGTGTGACCCAGGCAACCTCCACAAGTGCCCTCTGTGAAAAATCCAACCCTCTAGGGATCGGTACTCTCCCCTAAGAGCTAATTTATGCTCCCAGAGCAAATCAAAGAAGGCGTCCAAGTGGCAGCAAGAGAACTTGGCAGCAGATTAAATAGAAATACACAGATGATGTAGATGGAGTCACAGAGAAATTCCATCTTGTTGCTGACGGTGACTGACAGAACACTCTCCAGATTATTTTTTCCACCTTAAGAGTTTCTCCTCTAGAAGAAGCACGCTTCTCAACTCCAGAGCAACCTTGCTTGGCACCACCCTGTCTCCTTGTAGGAAAAGTAGGGGTTGAGCCGTGGAGGGAGAACCCCAGGGGTCTCTCAGGAAGTGAGTGAACCACAGCTGCGGGGGAGTGGGACAGAAGCTCCCCCAGCAGGGCCTCCCAGGGGCCATGGTCTCGGGGCAGGCAACAGCCAGGTTTCCTGTCCCAGAACTGGCCCTGGCAAGTGCGGAACACAGGATCCTTCTCCGTGAAAGTCTACCTGGAATCCTTTGGTTCCATTACTACTATCCTTAGTCTTACTCTCTTTTTGCCTGACAAAGACTTAAGAAAGAAATAAGCTGCCACCTTTTTCAAATTCCCATTTTATAAAGTCTCTATTCACAAGGGAAAAACAAGGGAGAATGGCTGTTGGCTTTATTTTGGCAGATGATTTACTTCCCTAACATATTTATTTTTTCTCAAATCACAAGTGTACAGCAGATGAGTATGAAAAAGAAGCTTTCAGGAAAGATTCTGAATGGCAAGATTCTTTATCTCAGAATTTAAAACTTGCTGAAAATAATCCACCCATCAAGTATTAATTGAATTCAGAATACACAGAAAAAGAATAGCGAATAATTATATGGCATTTACTATCTGTCTAATCTTTACTGGTGAATTAGCTCTAAATTCTCACAAAAATCCTGTGACATAGCTGCGGCTGTTTTCCCCAGTGTAAAGAGAAGAAATTGAGACGTAGAGGCCCATGTAGCTTCCACGGGGCACTCGACTGATAAGTGGCAGCTCTGGGACTGGGACCCAGGCCGTCTGGCCGAGGCCTGCTAGTGACTGCTCAGCAGCAGACGGGAGGACGTTGATCTGAGAATCCCTGTCTTCTCTCCTCTGTCTAACATTCAAGGCTGTCCTTCATATAGCCCACCAACAATGATAAGGATTATAATAACAACGTCCCAAATGTGTTGTTCAGTCACTAGGTTGTGTCCGACTCTTTGTGAGCCCTGGACTGCAGCACACCAGGCTTTCCTGTCCTTCACTATCTCTCAGAGTTTGCACAGACTCATGTCCATTAAGTCGGTGATGCCATCCAACCATCTCATCCTCTGTTGCCTCCTTCTCCTCCTACCTTCAATCTTTCCCAGCACTGCGGTCTTTTCCAATCAGTTGGGTCTTTGCATCAGGTGGCCAAAGTATTGGAGCTTCAACATCAGTCCTTCCAATGAATATTCAGGAACCCAAATCATTGATTAATAATTTCACATACACCTTCTTTTCATGGCTAATAAAATGGATGATACTAGGGCCATTTTACAGATGAGAACACTGAGAGTAAAGAAGTAAAATGACTTGCTCAAGAAAAGGCAGAGACAGGGCTAGAATTCAGGTTCCCTCTTCCCTTTTATCTACCACCCTGCACCTCACAAAACACCAGCAAAGACGAGTTTCTGTCCTTCTAGCCACCTGGTGGCTATGTGTACATGAGGCTCACATGTCAGGGATGTGTGTGTATGCTCAGCCACTCAGTTGTGTCCAACTCTGGACTGTAAGCCACCAGGCACTTCTGTTATTGTGATTGTCCCAGCAAGAATATTGGAGTGGGTTGCCATTTCCTCCTCCAGGGGATCTTCCTGAACCAGGAATTGAACCCGAGTCTCTTGCATCTCTTGCATTGGTAGGCAGATTTTTTATCACTGAGTTACCTGAGAAACCTGTCATGGATGTACCCCCTGGAAATTAATAGTGTATTTAAGAGTAAATAGCCTGATTAAGTTGTATGTATACATGACAGTGCTGCTATTTTACCTAGTACCGGCATAAATAAGAAAGTCACTTAGTATGGTGTGCTCAGATTGTATACATAATTATAGTGTCCCTTTGGGAACAGCAGCAGGCATGGCTCTAAAGGCAGGCAAACTTATTTTTACTTAGCATACTTTATGGGAACTAGGTAAAAAACCAGACTTCACAGGAAATAGATATGGTTGTCTGCTATGAAGAACTTTCACCCCCTACCTCATTGAGCAACCACTGATTCCTCCACCTCCACAGGATAGGTCTCATTATTCTGGCCCTCCCATTACAGGGCTTGGGCATCTGCCCCTTGGGGCATCTTTAAAAGAGTTTGGTTCTTTTTAAAATGGTACCAGCCTGGAAGCATTAAGCAAACCAGTGGAACTGAGCCTCAATCTCTAATGCTGGTTTCTAGGAAAGTTTTCAGTGGGCTTCTGAGAAATGAAGACAAATTTCCCCAAAGACAGTTTTGAATTATAGAAATTTCATACTTGAATGAATCCCCAGGTGGCACAGTGGTAAAGAATCCACTTGCAATGCAGGAGACACAAGAGCCGAGGGTTCTATCCCTGGGTCAGGAAGATCCCCTGGAGGAGGAGATGGCAACCCACTGCAGTATTCTTGCCTGGAAAATCCCACGGACAGAGGAGCCCGGTAGGCTACAGTCCATGGGATCGCAAAGAGTTGGACACGACTGAGCACAAGCACACATACTTGAACAATGAAAAGAAGTTGCATCTAGAACAAAGAGTTCTAAAATACCTTAATGAGACATTCTGAGACTTCACCATTCTGCTTTACTTTAGAAGAAAATTCCACAGGCAGGCTTGTCTCAGAGTTGCTCCAAGGGAGTGTGGTTCTTTAGGTTTCAAAGTCTGTTGTCAGGGGGTAGTTCCACATCACAGAAGAGGGGACACCCCCAACAGCACATTGAGGGCACGAGTCCTGGGAGACACTGGCATGTTTTGGTTAGTTGAAGAAAGGGCAGGAGTTGGCGAGTTGGTCTCTGACCTTTCTTCCTACATTTGGATTAGTTATTTTATTTTCCCTCAATCTACTTTTCAGAAAATGGTGGTCTTTTTTTTTTTTTTTTTTTAATCCAGATAGCTACAGGCATCATTTTCTGTTTAGGAGCTAGTGTAATTTTAAACTGTCACCTTCCACAGAAGTTCTTATTCTCATTTACTTCTCCTATTTCTCTTTCTAAAATAACTCATCACTGGCCCTAAGAGATTGAAATTTTGAAACTTCCTTCTAAGTTGAAGGAATCTGAACAGTACTTCCAGTGCTCCTGTTATTTTAGCCAGGCCTGATGGGGGTGACAGTGTGATCAAAAAACAAAAAACAGCCAGTCTTGAATTTGCAAAATGGCTTAGCAATAATAGAACACATATGTGTCTTTTTGTACTTATACTCTGTTTGTTACCTCTATGCTTTTGATTAAGTGAGACTTCATTAAATGGACTTTTTAAAGACTATGAATATTGCACAGTCACTTAGTACTGCTGGGAATTTTTTTTAAAAGCTGGCTTAATACAAGTAAACAGCATCGGTCCAGACACATGCTGACTCCACCAGATAATTTAGCTGCAGAGATTAAGGAAAATAGGCTCTTGCCAAGAATCACTTTTGATTCACTGGCAAAACTGTGTGTGTTGTTTTTTTTTTTTAAGCTGAGAGAGTAACTGGTTTGGGGAGCAGGGTTTTGTTTTGGGTGGTGTGTTTTTCCCTAATAGACTCTCTGAAGCCCATCCTACTAACCTTTATCCTCAGGATTTGCGACGGCTGTTACGTCATTAAGCCATTGTTCTTTATCGGCTGCTGCCTGCACAGCCCTGGTCCTGTCATCCCAGAAAACCAGTTTTCCCCCCTGAGGTGGTTGGGAGAGGGAGACCTGATATAGAAAAGGCCACGTCGGGGGCTGAGCTGCATGGGATTGCCAATGTTCAACCATCTTTTACTCTCAAAAGTGGTAATTCCATAAGATTCAACCAAAGGGGTAACCACAGGCTTTTTACAGTCTGGTTGTGAAATTAAATTCCTCCTGGGCAGTGGAAGTTTAGATCAGGCCTTTGTGGTAGGACCATGTAATAATAATTTCTGCATGTTAGCTGTCAAGGTCTTTTTGCACTCTGGGTGCTATTCACTGCCAATTTAGGAAGTATTTCATCTCTCTGATTTTGCTCTTATCAGTAAAGTGAGCCTGGGCAGGAACAGTGTCATACTCTCTTCCATGGTAAACCTAGGTGAACCTAGAGGACCACCTCGGAGTCCTCAGGCCAATAGAGTTGCTCAGACCTGACTGAGGTCACAGGGGAGTGAGAAAAAAAGAGGTTAAGAACTGGATCTTTTGCCTCCCTGTCACTGCTCCACCCTCCACTAGTAAATTGAGGGCAAGTCCCACAAAGGGGGCCTCTTGTGGAGTTCCAGGGCTGTGGCACATCACTTCTCTGTTCTAGGATGTTGCCCTCTGTGTGATAAAATATACACAGTGCTAACTCGAATGCGTGAAATGGCAACAGCAGCCTAACTGCCAGATCTACATCCTAGCTCTGTCAGCTACCAGCTATGTGACTTGACAAGTTATGGCATGTGACCCCTCTGTGCCCCTGCTGGGGAGGAAGAAATTTTCCTCTACCCTTCTAGGTTCATCTGGCTGGTCTAAGAATTAAGTTGACTTAAGACAGGTTAACAGGAGAAAATCAAACAAAACTTTAATTATGTATATACATGAGAGAGACCCAGGAAAATGGAATAACTCCCCCAAATGGCTGAAGCCCTTCCCTTTCTAAATACCATCTCCAGTTAAAGACAGAGGAGAATGTTGGAGGCAGTGGTTTGGAATCTCAAGGGGAAGAGGAAGGCAGTTGACATGGAGCTGGAAAAACAAATGTTTGGTAAACAAATGTTTGCTGGCCTGTGCAGAGACAATGGGACACAGTGAGGAGTTTTAATAAATAAAACTGTGCAAGGTTCCTATCGCCTCACCTCGTTGATACTATATTTATCTCTGGTGACAGCTCCCTTCCTGGAACAGATCCTCTGTCTGCTTTCCCTAGGCAGTTAGAAGGGAGGTCAGAGATGTTTCCTGAGTTCAGGGGGCCTTAAAAATAATTAGCCTAAATTAATCTTCATGCCAGTGAGACATATTTTTGGGGTGGCCGCATTTGCCCCCTTTGACCCTAGTCTTGTCCTTTGTAAAATGGAGATGTACAGCCCCACTGCTGAGGGTTGTGGCCAGGATTGAGTGAGTTAATGTGAGTTCATGGAAAGTACTCAGGACAGTGCCTGGCACACAGTAAGTGGTCAGTGATGTTTGTGCCATTGGATGATTGCTGCAGCTACTGGGTATCGCTGCACTGGAAATGGAATCGCTATTAAGCTACTCCCTGGCTCTTTTAAAATGTCGATCACTGGATTGGAATGTTAGTGTTTGGAGGCAACTTTTAAGAGCCAGAACCCCGCTTCTGTGCTGTCTTACAGTGTGGCCAGACTCTTAGCCCCTGGCCTGAGACCTTACAGCTGGGCCAATCCTTTATGCACCCCGTCTCTACTACCACTCAGCCTTCCTTGGTTGAAGGGGTGACAGCCAATGGGGGTCCTGTAGGTTTGATCCCTTCCTTCTCTCCTTTTATCAGAAAATAAAATAGACCAGCCCTGGATGAGGGACATACTTCATAAAGCTTATGTGAGTCTCCTGGGCTTAATTGGCTGCATGTTTCACATGAAATGTACAAGACAAGGCAAGTCCGGAAGAAGTAGGAAATCCATCCCAGGACAGCAAATCCTGTGCTTGAAAACATTTCAGGAGACACACATCGGTGGGAAAGGCCTGACCCAAGGCTGGCTGTGTTATACCCGATAAATAACCCATGTTTCACCTTCCTTTCATGGACCAGATTGTTCTAGCAGCATTGCATTAGGGTTTTTTCTGATTATAGTATAACTATTTAAGAAAACATGAGTGTGGTTCTAGCCCTTAGAGTGTGGGTGGTGCTCCCACATGAGGGTCTTGAAAGCTAATTTGTGCTCTGTGCTCCTTGGCCCACCTCCCCAAGCTGCCCCCCAGTGCATACTGGGCAGGGCTATGCAAAGTTCAACTTTGCACATTCAACCCTCGTCACCCTATTTGGGGTGCCCCTGGAGAGCACCCTCCTCCTCCTCTTCCCCTCCCTCTTCTTTTCCACCCCCTTTTGTCTGCAGTCATGCTTCCTGGCCTGGGCCTGCTTTCTTACACGTTGTGTGGTGATGTCACCACATCTGACTGTCTTGTTTTGTGGCTCACACATTTTGGCTCTGCTGTTGCATCAGGAGGCATGTGAGTTGGTAAAGCTTTGTCTCTGCACTGCACAGAGGGAGTGGTGGTTTATAAATTTTGAATACCTCTGTTAACTTCACATGAGAATCCAGGGCTTTTGTGTTTTGGAAAAATTGATATTTAGTGTGAGCTTGTGGTCTGGGAAAAAGGTTAACCTCTCACAGAAGTACTTTTTGCGAAATAGTTTTACATATGTCCAGTGTTCTTAGCATCACCAGGTGTCTTGAGCCATCTGATAAAAAAGATGGGACTGTAATAAGAGACCAGATTACCCACAAGAAATTCGGTCTACCACAGATATACTCAGAATTTCTACCCGAGTTCTAGAGACACAAATATGGCATTTTTTTCTCTGTGAACTTAGAGAAGTTAGTGATCCCAGTGCACTTTACTCTCACAGATCTGTCTGAGTGTCAGAGAGTGGGGTTTATAAAAGTGGAGGGACAGGAGAAAATCAGAAATGAGGGGCTTCTCATAAATGAAATTGACCACTTATTTTTTTAATGTTATGAAGTTTTTATTTTAGGGGTTAAGTTCAACTCAACTGACATCAGAAATATTAGGCTGCAGTCCTCAGCCAGCCACCCATTAGAGGCATGGCCTCGCATGTCATAACTGCACTGTGCTTCAGCTTTTCCAGCTGTAAAATGATCATGGTCATCATTCTGACATCCTCCTGGGCTGACTTGAAAAAGTGGGAAAGAATATCTGAGAAACTTGTCCTGAGCACCTTGAACAAAAGTTCACTTGCTGTGTCAGTGATCCCATCTTATGCTCAGGGCTCCCGACCCTGAGCTGTGAGGGGGCTGTGCTGTCCACACTTGGGCTGGGATGGCTGGGCAGGCCTCCCTCTTGTGCATTCCCAGCATGTTTACATGCTGAGTAATCCCACCAGTTCCACTGAATGGAAGAATTGAGTTTTCCCCGAGGATTTTCGAGCCTTCTGCCTACACAAACCCTGAAGTTAGCCATTTACAATACAGGAAAAGGAGAGACACTCTGCAGTTTCTGGCTTAAAACATACACAATTCCTAACAGAGATTCCTCTGTGTTGCCTGGGGTGGAAGTAACAGAGCATTTCCCTCTGGTGCTCTGGAGTTACATAGTGTCAAAGCTAAAAGAGCCTCTCCAGTCCCTGGCAAGTGTCTCTATTTACACATGATGAAACTGAGGCCCAGTTCCCTGGGGAAGCCCTTGTCCAGGGTCCAAGCAGGTTATTGGCCTGAACCCAGGTCGGCTGACCCTCAGGCTGGTTTTCCTGCCATTTCACTCTGCTTCCAAGGCCTACACCAGGGCAGCTGATTGGAAGTGTGGCAGAGGGATTGGGATGAGGTGGTATCAGGGAGGCGATGGACAACGAAGGCAGCTTGGAGATGCCTGGCCCGGGCCCTGCTCACAGCTGCCCTTTTGTCTGTTCTCAGCTCACCACAGCACCTGGAGGATTTGGGGTGTTGCCCATAGGAGCTTGCCACACCCTGAGCCTGGAGCCATAGCATGGTCCCTGGGGCACCAGTGACCACAGGCCCCAGTACGTCTGCTGGCACACTGGGCAATGGGCACGGACTGGACAAGGCTCAGGACACTCCAGCCGAGTGAGACAGTGACCCTGAAGGAAGCATGGGATTCCCTGGGAGGAGAAGCCCAGGACGCTTGTCTGAAGGGCAGCCTAGAGGAGAGACAGGAGGGGCTGAGGGACTTTGGGGTCACACTGACTCCAAAGAGAGGAGAGGCCAGGAGAGGCCAAGGAGCTATGAGATTAGAGCGACCTGCAACAAACAGGCTCTGATCCCAACTTTGATTCCTTTCTTCCAGATTTATGTGCTCCCAGCTGCCCAATGAGGTCCTGAAGAGCATCAGCATAATCGACAGCCCTGGCATCCTGTCTGGAGAGAAACAGCGCATCAGCCGAGGTCAGTGCTTGCCCCACCCATCCCAGTCCCCCCAAACCCCACCTCCACCCCCAGGGCCGACTAAGTCTCTCTGTGATGTCAGCAGAGGATTTTTGCCCCTGTTTAATTCCTTTAAGTATTGTCATCTACTGTTAGTACCTGCCTCACATAAATCTTCAGACTTTAAGAGGGAGCCTGTCACTTGCTAACCACTCACTTGGACACATAACAAGAAATAAAGGTGGCCAACCAGTCACCCCAAGGGAGAGAGCGCTCCCTGCTGCTCTACTTCCCCAGAATACTGGCACATCTACCCCAGTCGCCTCTGCAGCAGCCTTCCATTGAATGAGGCTTTATTGGTGTTAGTATATATTTGGCACCAGACGCTGTAATGCACATGGGGATGTGGAAAAAACAGATGCAGTTTCTGGCCTGGAGGATCTTGTGTTCTAATGAGGAAGATGGATATTAGTTATTTTATCACAGAAATAAATAGAAAACAAGAGTCGGAATAATCATTCTATGATGGGAACTGTCTGTCAGGGTGTAAGGGGGATATCTGGCCTTGGGTTGTTGGGAGAGACTCTCCAGAGGAGACATTGGAGCTGGAACCCAGGGGATGAATTGGAATCACCTAAGGGAAGCTCTGGGCTTCCCAGGTGGTGCTAGTGGTAAACCTGCCTGCCCGTGCAGGAGACATAAGAGGCATGGGTTCGATCTGTGGGTTGGAAAGATCCCTTGGAAGAGGGCATGGCAACCTACTCCAGTATTCTTGCCTGGAGAATACTATGGACAGAGGAGCCTGGTGGACTACAGTCCATAAGGTCACACAGAGTCAGACACAATGAAAGTGACTTAGCACGTACATGGATGGGAAAGGAGAGATGATGAGGTGTTCAAAGGAAATCTGTGAAAGACAGAAAACACTTGTAAAGAACAGTGACATCTGGGCTTCTGCAACCTTCACAATGCAAGGCTAAGGCAATACTGTTTCCAGACCCATGCACTGTGCTTCAACCAATTAGCCTGTGGTTTCCCCCACCCCCTCAGTGAAGGGGCTATCAGGAGCAGATCAGAAGACCATTTACCTACAGAGAGGAAATTCCTGAAAGGGAGAGCACTAGGATAGACTGCTGGGGTCCCAGAGGCAGGTCCAGAGGCCTTGCGCTGGCCTCTGAAACTAAGGGCAGTTCCTGGAGGCTTTGCTGGGAGGGAGAAGCCAGAGTGGATTAGTTTCTGCTGTCACTCCTCACTGGTAATTCTTCACAGCCCCTTGAACAGGACTCACAGGATTGTGGCCAGACAGTGCACTCCCCCAGCATTCCTGGAACAGAAGTGCAGTACACCAGCCCTGGGACACACCCGGGAGCCAGAAAGCAAGGGTCCTGTGACAGGGGTCAAGAAAGAGCATCCCACGTCTGTCAGCCCTCCCTTCTCATGGCATTTGAGAAATGCTGATTTTGCAGTCTCTGACTGCCTTGCTGTGCCTTCATCCATGTGTTCAGGGACTTGGTGGGCCATTAGGCTTCCCCAAGGCCTCCAAGAACATTGTACTTACAGAAAAGACCACAAATAACCATTATTATTTGTTTTCTCCAGCTCCTTAGAGACTTTTTTCTGTGTGTGTACAAACATACTGTTTTAACAGAAATGTGATTACCGTGCACATTTCTTACAACTTGACTTTTAAAAAAAAATATGTTTATTTATTTGCCTGCATCATATCTTATTTGCATCATGTGGGACTTTTCATTGCAGGGTGTGGGCTCTCTAGTTGTGGCATGGGGGCTTCTCTCTAGTTGTGGTGCATAGGCTCTGGTGCTCGGGCTTAGTTGCCCCACAACCTATGGGATCTTAGTTTCCCTGCCAGGGATCAAACCTACGTCCCTTCATTAGAAAGTGGATTCTTAACCACTGGACCACCAGGGACATCTTATACAACTTGATTTTTGGTTGTTGGTCCTAAATTTTAGGACCTCTGGATTTTAGCTTCAGCCTTATCTATTCCTTGTTATTGGTAGGCCTTTGACCAATGCCTATATTCTTCAGGGTTTCTCCTTGGCTTAGTGATTCTAAGTGTCTTTCAACCTGTAGCTCCTTCAGAGAAATTAGCATGGTGTGATGTGCTCAGGATGCCTTGAAGACAGTTCTTTTCAGCACTTTATAATAACTGACTCATATCCTAGTCTGACTTACTGTGACAAGCCCTTACTCACATCCTATGCCCAGAAATAGCACATATGGTTCCAGCCAGTCGGCCAGTCCCTGCCACCCTGACAGACAGCAGCTGGTACCATACCGTGCTGTGGCATCGTTGCTGGTTGGGGTCACTTAGTTGACAGTTTCAACATATTAACCCCAAAGAATGTGTGCTGTTTTAAAGCTGCTTCAGCTTTAACTATTGCAAATAGTGCTGCATTTTCGCACATGCTCCTATCTGCTGCTGTCCCTCCAGCTCGTAGATCACAGCCCCACCTTTGCCAGTCCTCTGTGTCAACATTGGATGAGCCTCAGAGACAAGCTGTGACCCCGTAGAACGTTTGAAACACCCACCATTGACCTTACTAGTGGGGCTTTGCCTCCCCGACGGATGTTTCATCTGTGAAAGAGAAAGGGGTGGCTGTCGCACCTCCTCCCTGTCCCTTGGTGTGATTGATTGATTAACCTTTGGCAGGCAGAGTCTCATCAAGCAGGTCCCTCTTACACAGATAGTGTCTCCTCAAAGTGTATATTCATAATAGCAGTGTCAGAACAGCCACCAGAGGTTGAACCCTTGCTGTGTGTCTGCACGGTGCTCTTCACTGAGGATTTGCTAAGCTAAACCTGCATACAGTCATGCACAGACAGGAGCCCAGCCCTAACCAAGGAACCACTCACCCTCACTTCGCTGGGGATGCCGAGCCTAACAGAGTTTGTAAGAATTCCTTCCCCAGTGGCTGGGCAGGTGGGCGACCAGGCTTGACAGCTGGGGAGTGGACAAAGCAAAAGCTATTAAGGCACCACTTTTGAAGAACAGGCTGGGGGTATGTATGCTTCAGGCAGTGGCTGCAGGCTGACACTGCTGTATGGACCCCATCCACCCTCTAGCCTGCAGGCTGTGCAGCCCCAGATGGGCACATTCTGGGCAGACCATGCAGCTGCAGAAGGAGGTAATGAGCATGGGGTAACTGAAGAGCACCCCCAGGAAGACCTACTGACTGCATCACACTCAGAATTCTCCCATCAGCATGGAATGAGGCGGATGGTGGGTGGGGCAGTGGAACATAGTGTTGCTTTGCTGGTGGTCAAACAGGGAAGGAGTGACCTAAGCTGGGGAGCTGACTTCATCATCACTGGTGGTCCTCAGGTGCCCCCAGGGCATTGCCCAGGTACCCCAGAGTTCTGGGAACTAGCTGGCCCAGTGCGGGTATATCTCCAGGAAGGAGTCCTGAACCTGGGGTTTAGTCATGTGCCTCCCCTCCCCTGTGGCTCCCTTCTTCCTTGTTCATTCTTTTCTCTTGTGCCATCATAAACCTGCATCCTTTCTACTCTGTTGAGTAAAGAGAGCAAGTGTGATTACTAGGAGGACATGGCATTTCATGGTCATTGCTCTTCTCTTGGCCAAAGTCAGAGGTGACCAGAAAAACAGTTGACATTTCTACATGATGATTCATATTTTGGGGTGTTTGGTTTGAGGCAAAACTTGGCAAATCCACTCTTATGCTAGAAGTGATCTTTACCAATTGGAATGTGTCCCAGCAAAGCCTTCTCATCAGCAGAACATTAACATGGACCCTAGAAGTCAGGTCCTGCTCTATGACCCACAGTAAAACAAGAATGCAAGGTCTGCCTTGGGGGAAATAAATGTCTAGATCTCTGCCTTGGTAGCTCTATAAATAAAACCCACTACAGTAATTGGTTTTGGAGCAATTTTTAGAATACTACTTATGACTTTGATGTTTCTCAGCTTAATTATAGTTAACAAAAAATCTTCAGAAAAAAAAGGGTGAACTTAGGTACTAACCTGTAGCTTTCTTGGCTGACATAGAGAATTCTCATCGAGCAGGAATTAAAATACTCTGCAATCAATGTGATACACTATATTAACAATTTGAAAGATAAAAACCATATGTTCATCTCAATAGATGCAGAAAAAGCCTTTGACGAAATTCAGCACCCATTTATCATTAAAACTCTTCAAAAAATTGGCATAGAAGGAACCTACCTCAACATAGTAAAGGCCATATATGATAAGCCTACAGCAAACATTATTGTCAATGGTGAAAAACTGAAAGCATTCCCCCTAAGATCAGGAACAAGACAAGGGTGTCGACTTTTACCACTATTATTTAACATAGTTCTGGAAGTCCTAGCTACAGCAATCAGAGAAGAAAAAAAAATGAATCCAGATCGGAAAAGAAGAAGTAAAGCTCTCACTGTTTGCAGATGACGTGATACTGTACATAGAAAACCCTAAAGATAGTGTCAGATAATTACTAGATTGTGAATTTAGCAAGTTGCAGGATACAAAATCAATACACTGAAATCACTTGCATTTCTATATACTAACAATGGAAAATCAGACGGAGAAATTAAGGAATTAATCCCATTCACCATTACAGCAAAAAGAATTAAATATCTAGGAATAAACTTACCTAAGGAGACAAAAGAACTGTACACAGAAAATTATAAGACACTAATGGAGACATCAAAAGATGACATAGCAGATGGAGAGAGATTCCTGGGTAGGAAAAATCAATATTGTGAAAATGACTATACTACCAAATGCAATCTACAGATTCAGTGCAATCCCTATCAAATTACCAATGCCATTTTTCACAAAACTAGAACAAGAAATTTCACAATTCATATGGAAACACAGAAGACCCCAAATAGCCAAAGCAGTCCTGAGAAAGAAGAATGGAGCTGGAGGAATCAACCTTTCTGACTTCAGATTATACTACAAAGCTGCAGTCATCAAGAGAGTATGGTACTGGCACAAAAACAGAAATATAGACCAATGGAACAAGACAGAAAGCCCA